CAACCCACTGCCACAGGGGCTGCAGCCTATGCCGTCGCCGGCGACTCATGGCAGCCCAGCTCCAGGTTGAGCTGTTGTTCAGCATCTTAGCTGTGGAGGGCAGTGTCACTGGCCCTCATACACGGAATACGAGCCGCGGCCCTCTGGCGTCCCAAGCCAGCTCTTAACCAATGCGCCACTTGGCCGGCCCGCAAACAAATTCTTTAAGAGAGTCTATCAGCTTGGACTAAAAGAGATTGAGAAAATTCAAAATGTAAACAGGCCTCTGAGTCCCAAATTTCTCTGAGAAAGCTACTCAGCCGCAGACGCAAGCCATTTCTTTTGGAAAAGGGAAGACCTCTCAGAAGGAGGATCCAAGAGCCCCAGAGCATGGAGCCCAAAACCAAGGAGAACAATGGACTAGAGCACCCACCATTAGGGGGCAGAATTGGGCATTAATCAAGGAACACTCCCTTTCCCTGGAGTAGTGGGGTAAGTGGCAACATGCACCTTACTGCATTTCAGAATCTCTGTGGACCAGTAACTGCTATGTGCTTCCTGTTCTCTTCCTTTCTGAACATGAGTGTCTATTATGTTTGTCCTGCTTCTGCGGCACCATTCTATGTTAGGTGTATGAGTGGAAGATAAGTTGTCTCTTCAGTTCATAGGTATCTGGATCAAAATGAGTTAACATGAAGAACCTCATCCATATCTGAACCACATACAGATCTTCAGAAACTGGACTTTGATCCTGATGTCATAACTCTGAGCCTGATGTCAACATGTATGAAAATTTTTGAGGGTCGTGGGAAGAGGTGAATTTATTTTGCATATGGGAGAAATGTAAATAACTGTGGCAGAGGGCGTGCTGTGGAAGATGACATATGGTCACAGATACTTTACATTTACCCATCAAGAGACGAAATCTGTTTTCTCTCTCCTTCAATCTGGGCTAGCCTTGTGACTTGCTGTGACCAACAGAATGTTGTGAAAGTGACACTTTATGAATTTTCGAGTCTAAACCTCTTAGATGTCTTATAGCTTCTGCCTCTGGGTACTTGCCTGGACTTCCGTATCAAGCAGCCAGCTTAGCCTATTGTATAAGTATGAGCATCAGAAGCCACATGAGAGGCCAGCCGAGTGGCGCGTTGGTTAAGAGCTGGCTTGGAACGCCAAAGGGCCCCGGTTCGGATCCCACATATGAGGGCCAGTGACACTGCCCTCCACAGCTAAGATGCTGAACAACACCTCAACCTGGAGCTGGGCTGCTGTGAGTCACCGTCAACAGTGTAGGCTGCAGCCCCTGCTGCAGTGGGCTGCCATGGGCTACGGTGTGTAGCCAGCAGCCAGCATGAGCAGCCAGCAGCCGCCATGAGCGGCCGTCCAGAAGCCGGCGACTGATCTGCCTCACCCGGGAAGAGCGCAATGATGGTGCCAACTTGGGCCAGTGAAGCAACGTCCTCCACAACTAGACTGAAGAACAAAGGGACGGCAACTTGTCTGTTCCCCTTCCTCCAATTCCCCAGTGCTGTTCCATCCCCCAATTCTCCAATAAAAACCTTTAAAAAATTTAAAAAAAAGAAGCCACATGAGGTGCCCAGCCAATAGCCAGCAGGAGAATGAGGCGATCTTGGGCCATTTTAGCAGTTAACCTTCCAGGTAAATGCAGCCATATGCTCAGGTGAAAACAGCAGAACATCCACCCAGTCAATCTACAGACTTATCGTTTTACGTCTGAATTTGAGATGATTTGTTATGCAGCAATAGGTAACTGATTCATCAATAAAGTTAATAATAATCATGGTAATGGTAATCAACATAATAATAATAGTAGCTAACAATATCAAATGTTTCCTGTATGCAAGGCATGTACTAATAACTTTACATGCAGTAACTCATTTAGTCTTTTCAATCATCCTATGACATTATTTCTCCCCCTCTTCCAAATTACTTCTGTGGTATCTCAGGCTTAGAGGGGGTTAGTTAATTTGTTCAAGGTCACACAGCTAGAAAGGCACAGAGCCAGGACTCCAACCTCAGCCTGTCTGGCACCAAAGCCCATGCTCTTAACCACCACCCCAAGCTACTAATGGCTTTTCATGGGGATTTTTAAAAATTATGAGTGATTCATCAGCTATTTTTAAAGTCGATATGCAAAAGGTTATCACCTGAGGAGTGGGCCATCATCCTAGAGAACACAGATTGCTAAAATTGAGTGATATAATTTGTCCAAATATGAGTTAAATCTTGCAAGGTTACATGTAGGATCCATATTATGAAAAAAATATCTCTAATAATTCTGTTCTTTTAGCACAGCAAGGGATAATATATTGAATATTTGTAGCCTAGAAAGCATTCAGCCCTGGGTCCTAGGGTTGAATGGGCCTTTTTCCCTCATAAATCTCTCTCTTATCCTACTGACTTTATGCTAAACAGTCTATGTTGACACATGAATGCTCATTTATATGTTTTAAGTTAAAATGAGTTGTTTAATTTGTGCATTTTTTGTGTGATTTCTTCAAGTCACTTCTAATTAACCAGCCAAATGCCAGTCTCCTGTATGTTATATCTTTATTGAGATATAATATATATCTCAATATTTATATATTAAGACTTTATGTACATGAAAGCAATGTAATTAAGTGCAAGAATTTGTGAGGGATAATTATCATTGTCTCATTAATCACCATTAAATTAAATTATATGAAGTAAGCCAAAATATCAATCTGATAAACCAGGAAGCGTTAACTACAATTTACAGCACACAAGGCAGTTAGTTGTGTTTACTTAGGATTCAGGTACAAATTTTCCTGAGAAAACAAGGTTCATACAGCTCATCTCTAAAATTGCAAGAGGTAATTTGGATAAAACCTGTTAAGTAATTTGCACATGTTATTACTAAAGTTTCTCAAATCAAATATAATTATGATATTTATATGTTTGAAATCCATTTATATGGTGTCATCTGACTCTGATTTTTATACTGTTATTAGAGATGATAGCTGCACTGACACCAAAAGTGTCCCAAGATTAAGGCTCTTGTGACACTTCAGCTTAAAGATAATAGTGAGAGATTTAGAAATAGCTAAGCCAGGCACATGAGCTCAGCATCCTTAAAATGTGTTGCTTATTTCCAGGGTTAGACAAACACACAAGTTAAGCTTTATTTCCAGAAAAGCATCCATTTGCCTTAATGAATAGATAAAGATGATGTTATTGCCTACAAAATAAGGCAAGTATTTTGACTGTTTTTCAGCTGGACAACATTTAGGTAACCATATTTTTTTGGTACATTTTTACACGACTACTTTGGATCAAAGCAATGGCCTATGTGCAAGAAAAACAAGATAAGTGGCTCATTGCATAGGCCTGGATTTGAGCTCACTTCACCTTGGTCAAAGCCAGCCACTTAATGGGCCACCCACTTCTGCCATGTGACCTGACAGAAAGGAGAAATCAATAAAGTCCCACCAGTGAGCTTCATTTGCTGTTATATTTATCAATCTAGGCTCACAAAGCATTGGAAAGAATTTTTGATAAGTTTCAATTTGCTGGTCCTTCAGGTGTTTAGTGTCTACTGACCTTATCCAGGGCTGCCTGGACCTCAGCTTCACTTTCAGAGTCCAAGGCTGATGTGGCCTCATCTAGCAGAAGGATCTTGGGGTTTCGAACCAGAGCCCGAGCGATGGCGATTCTCTGTTTCTGTCCACCACTCAGCTGGGCCCCTCTGTCTCCAACCAGGGTGTCAAATTTCTACAACAGAAAACATGGAGGAGCTTTTGAAGTATTTTAAGTAGAAAAGGCTATGGAGTCTGGAAATTCAGGAAGACAACACGGTGCTTCCTTTTGACTATCGCAATGAGTCATAAATGATCATAAAAGAAACAAATACTGAATTCTAAAAAACTACTGACTCACAGTCTGTATAAAATTGTATATATGTACCCAGCTATACTCCTTAAACCTCCAGCTGAATAATGCAAGGCACTTACGTAGCAAAGCTGGACAACTTTGCATCTCAAACATTATTAGCTTAAGCTTTGAAGGAAGAAAGTCACACGAGGTGAAATCTAGTTTGGAGGGCAACTACATAAACAGAGCCTTTACCTGTGGTAATTTCATGATAAACTCATAGGCATTGGCTTCTTTGACAGCTTTCTTTATCTCATCCATAGTTACATTTCCACGGCCATAACGAATATTTTCAGCAATTGTGGTAGAAAATAGCACTGGCTCCTGACTCACCACTCCAATTATTTCCCTCAGATACCTTACATTAAAGGTCCTAATATCCTGCCCATCGATGTTAATCTGAAAAAAAAGAGGTATTTTCATTAAATATTTCAAACTTTCTGATACTAAAGCATCAAGACTCTTTCATTTGTTATGAAAATAGTCTTAGTTAATATTTAATTTATTTCAGTGGTTAGAAATGAGAATTGGAAATAAATAGCAATGTGAAAGAATAAAAATAAAAAGTATATGCTTTCTTTTGTATTTATCACCTTACATATACATTTTTTTCATAAATGGATAATTCTCTATAAATGATATTGGGTTATATGTTTTTGGCACACTATTAGTTTTGCTTACCATTGTTAAATTTGAACAAAAATGTCCAGCTACCTACCTAGTCTGCATATAATTTTGATGACATTATGATGTTTTACTATATGTAATACACCATAATTTACTTTAGCAGTTCCTACCTGCTGCACATTTAGTTTCCTTCAAGGCTTAAGGAAAGACAATCATTGTAGAAGTGGAGAATTACCAGGTTGAAGAGTACGATTTATTTTTTCTTCTCTAATAACAATCGCCTACAAGCACAATGACTACTATCTGGTGGCATTTATTATATTCTGAATAGAGGTTGGATAGACAACTCTCTAAAAAGATTTTAATAATTTACAATGTCAGCAGAAATACATAAAATACATCTGCTTCATTGTAATTTACTAGCTCTGGGTTTTATCATTTTAACCTGTTTTTTCTAATTAATAGGTACGAGGTAGTAGGTTATATAATATTTGTTTTCATTTGTATATATTTATACGTAAGACTGAACATTTCTTGAAACTTTTTACAAATCTATATTTATTCTAGAAATATTTGCACATTCATATCCCATTTTAGATTTTTATTACATTGACCCTTGAACAATGTGGGAGTCAAGGGCACGGAACCCACATGCTGTCAAAAACCCACCTGTAACTTTTGACTCCCCAAAACCTTAACTACTAATAGCCTACTGTTAACATAAACAGTCAATTAACACATATTTTGTAGGTTATACGTAGTATATGCTGTATTCTTACAATAAGGTAGTCTAGAGAACAGAAAATGTTATTAGGAATATCATAAGGAAGAGGAAATGCATTTACACTATTTATTGAAAAACTCTGCAGATAAATGAATCTATATAGAACAAACCTTGTGTTGTTCAAGGGTCAACTGTAATTTCTCAAATATTAAATATAATATATATTATAAATATATATTTATGTATTATATATTAATATATTATATATTATATTATACATTTATACATTATACTTATATTGTAAATATAATATATGTATATTATATATTAATATTTTATATTTTATATATTACATAATATATATTATGTAATATGTAAAATATACTTTATATTTATATTTATAATATAAACATAAAATATAAATATAAATTATAAATATGTACTATATATAAATATGTTATATATTACATTATATATTATATTTAATATTTGAGAAATTAGTTGACCCTTGAACATTGAACAATATTAATATATAATTTAATATATATTAAAATATAAATACGTAATATAAAATATATATTTTCCCATATATCATAAATCATTTATTTGTTCCAATTTATTGCTTTCTTTTATTATAGTTTTACTATTTTTATTGGAGAGAAGTTTAAGGGAAAATTGAATTAATCAACTATACCACTGGGCATTTCTTCTATTGTTTTAGTAGCAGAAAATTGTTAAATCATGATGTGAACCATGAATATCTCTACATTAGAAACTTTCTGAAGACTTTTTTCTCTGCTGACATGATATATTTTCTAAAAAATCTGTTAGCCCTGTAATCATTTTAAGTATAAGAAATTTTCAAATGATTATCCTCAATGGTTAGTATTTTGCTAGGTGTTTTTTTTTTTAAATAAAGAAAAATGTTTACACTTGAACCAACCTAGAATTTGCTTAGTAAGTGAGGATGGACCTATATGTTCCTCTTTAGTAATAACAGATTTTTCCAAGAATGTTTATTAATTTTATTTTTTAAATAAATAAATAAATAAATAATTTGTGTACCCTAGAAAACTTTGTATTCATTCCTGTAATCTTTGTACTATCTCAATGCTTTTTAATGTTTTTTTTGTTTTTCTTTGTAACTTGTGATCTGTTTTCATAATAATGCATTTTAACATCAGGTAAACTTGTTGTCCCAAAGTTGGTACAGTTGAAGAAATCTGTATATGCTGTGGACTAGTATTATATTAATGTCAAATTACTGACTTTGATAATTGCTTTATGGTTATGTAACAGAATGTCCTTAGAAAATATATTCTGAAGTATATAAGAGTCAAGGGGCATGATGACCTTAACTTACTCTCACGGGTTCACAAAAAAAATGTGTGTGTGTGTGTGTGTGTGTGTGTGTGTGTGTGTGTACAAGGAGAGAGAGGACAATAAAGCAAGTGAGGTGAAATATAAAAAATTAGTAAATCTGGGTGAAGGGTATGTGTGAGTTCCTTGCTTGCAACTTTTCTGTAAGTTTGAATTTATAACAAAATTTTTAAGGGGCAAAAAGTATATATACCCTAGGCTATTACTTTCCCCATGTCCCCAGAAGTTTCTTAAGAGACTAACCCACTTTCCTCTTCAGATATTCCAACATCTAAGAAAATTGTCTCTGATGAAATTAATTACTGTTGTAAGATTTCTTGTGTCCCTGATTACTAGATTGGCAACTATTTCAATATGGAATATTTCTGACCAAACCCAACAACTCACTGAAAATAACTTCAGTGGTTTGCATGACTATTTTCCAGTGATTCAGTGATGATGGAAAGCTTAGTTGGAACAGAAAACAATGTTGTGTAGCTTCTTTGGCTTTTAGCATCTTGTATATTTTTGTTAAACCAGCCCAAGGGTTTGAATACATCATCCAGAGGCAATGCAATTCCACAGTCCTTTTACCAAAATTTCATTCACATGCAAATTTGTTACTAAACAACAATTTCAAAGGGCTAATTGATACCCAGCTTCCCACTTTGGAAAACTTGTTTCTTCCCACTTACCATACCCTCATCAGGGTCATAGAGCCTCTGTATCAGCTGGACCGTAGTGCTTTTCCCACAGCCGCTGTTCCCAACCAGGGCCACCGTCTGCCCGCTCTGAACCGTCAGGTTGAGGCCCTTCAAGATCTGTGGTGGCCAAGAGAGAAAAAGAACACGCTTCACAAACAAAACCCTAAAAGGGGAGGGATTTGATTTAATTTGCAATTTGAAAAAAGTATCAAGTAAGGGGCTATAACCCCCAAAGGAAAAAGCATGTAAATGTTAAAAGGTAGAGTCTTTAGGTGTTTTAAGATGATTAAACAATCGATCTGAGTGAGCAATTCCTATAACTACTACTTACAGTACCTTGACATTAGCTCGAGCTGGATAAGAAAAATGAACATCATTGAACTCCAGATTCCCTTTGATGTTGTCTGGTTTGTGTCCTCTCTCTGAAAAACTGTCAATTTTAGGATTCTAAATAAAACAAAATTCAATGACTATTCCATCATAGAACAAACAATTGCATTTTTAAGGAATATGATTCAACAAATTCCAAAAATAAGACCTGCAATGGCACAATCTCCCTCACATGAGACAGGACCCAAGGTAAAGATATTGTGTGTGTGTGTGTGTGTGTGTGTGTGTGTGTGTTTAAGGAAATATTCACTCTTGGAAAACAGGCATTTCCTCAAAAGAACATAAGGGATATACTCATTTCATTTTGCACAATATTTCACTTTAAGATTTTGGTATATCCTTATACATTTTCTAAATGGTCAGATACGTATGTTTATACAACTGTAATAACAAAAATACTATAATTGATATTTCAGCATTTAGTGAAAATTAGCTTATTCCTAAATAATAAATGTAATGGATTGGGTTGAGAAGACTGACTGAACAATTGGTTAGAGCAAATTATTTATAGGAACAATGAAAACATTCAATATATTCAGAAGCTGAGCAAATTTTCTCATGACTTAAATCAATCAAACAGGAAGAATTGCTTGGATTAAATTATCAAACTTCAGTTTTCTTCTTTGCATTTTATCTGTGTATATACAATGGCTTACTTTAGTATGTCAAAACTATTTTCTTTATTTCACTGCAGTCAGTACAACTTATTCAATATAGTTGATTCAAAATCATATCAAACATGCATTGATCAATTTTTTTGAGGGGGGCAACCCACAGCAAAACATACTGTAATTTTGGTCCCACCAATAATTTTTCCACTCACTCATCCTGTATAGAAATCATGATATTCTCAGTCTGGCTACAAAATGAGAGAGAGAGAAAAACTAGGAAGACAAACATCTTAGCTCTGAACTCTACGAAGAACAGTAGTGCAGATGTACTTTTCCAAAATGAGATCAATGTTATTATATTATTTAAAGGGAAACGTTTAGAAATATTAATAAGAGGCATTTTGTTTCATTCCTTATTAAGAAGAGGTTAATTTCATATAATTCATTTTCACATGATATTTAACCTAAAGCCAGATTTAACCTGGAGCCAAGCCCCAAAGACTTTTTCAGTATTAAAATCATAAATAACTCACATTATCTATAATATCAAAGATCACATATGCTGCTCCCCTTGCATTGGCAAAAGCATCAATACATGGAGCTGCCTGTCCAACGCTGAAAGCTCCAATCAGGATTGAAAAAAAGACCTGAGCAAAAGAACAAGAGGAAATGTTGTAAGTCCCATTCTGGCATCCATTATTATCTCACATATGGTTTCTTTGAAACATATAATACAAAAGGTTGAATTTAGGTTTATCCCTAAATGTTTTTTTTAAAAAAGAGCAGAATTCACAAGGTTACTACAGCATTTCATTGCTCAAATGGGTTTCTTCCGCCTCAAAAATATTTTTTATCTAGCTTGTCAAACTATCTGTTGCTTTCTCCTGAACTTATACAGAATTGGAGAGATTTTCAAACCTATTTTTTTGGCTCTGAAGCTAATGCCACCACAGGGAAGCATTTTCCATCAGTATTATTATCAGTCCTAGATGATTTTCTCTAACTATGCATTGAATTACACAAAATATTCAAGATGAATCATGGTAGATTTTGGCCCAATGGAATTTTCCTTAAAAAGTACCATGTTACTTAAATATTTTGACTTTTAATAGAAAAGGTAACAGTTCATACATTATAAAACACTAAATCACACTTGAGTTCACTGATTAATAATTCCTTTACACAATTTTTCTGTACTGTAGCATGTGAAACTTATCACATTTCCCTTCATATATTTTTTCACTAGGAAAATACAATGATATAGAAAAGCCAAGAATATAGCCTCAGGAATCCTGATTATTTGCATAACTTAACTGAGGAAAACATAAGTGAAGAGAAATTACTCCTTTCTCTCTGGACAAGGTGAAACTTCTACACATAGTTCGGCTTTTCTCAGGAGACAGTAATGATAACATTTCACGTCCCCGGGAACTCAAATGTCCCTCACATATCTATCCACTATCTGCAATACAGATAAGAACCAGTAAGATAGCAAAAACGTCTCTACCCAAATAAATGTTATAAAGTTAATGCACTAGAGGCTTTATGCAGAGGGTGTTGTGGGCTTCCTGCATCATAAATACCACTCTCCAGCCCTACTGGGGACATGTCATTGTCCACATACTGCAAACAAGGAGACTAGGCCAGAGAGGAGACGTTGATCACAAAAGGTGAGTGGTAAAGTCAGGGTTCAGTCTCCCTTCTTCATTAAATTTAGCAAGCAAGGAAATGAAGAAAGGTTGAGGGCTTCCAAGCTGATAACCAGAGAGGAGACCAAAATAAGAAGAAAAAAAAAAGACATAACAATTATGAAAGCTCATCCATCCAAATAGCCCTCAACACTTCAATGGAGTATGAAGATACTACGCTAGAAAACATTTTGAAGTGAAAAATTTTCATAATGGCCCTAAGTCATCAGCAAAGGGCCAAATTGTGTTCAGTATCTTCTGTTTAGAAAGATGAGGAAGTGCAGGTTTGAAAAGATTGCTATTTGAATGGTTACATGTTGTTCTGATTGTCACCGAGATGAAAAAAAAAGTTCTCAAAATATTGCTAGTTTATAAAACAGGTTACAAAATGCTATCCATAATACAATCCCACTTTTGAAAGGAAAAAAAACATGTATGTATAGAAAATGGTTTGGAAGATATATTCCAAAAGTTATCATTAAATGTATATGGATTATTAGATTACAAGCCATTCTAAATAACTCCCAATTTTTAAAATATTGTATTCTAATCCTTTTGTAAATAGTACATGTTGTTTTTATAATCATAAAATAAAGCTATTTTCATTTTGAAAAAGAAAAACAAACTAAAATAACTTTTCATCTTATTTTTCAGATAGCTGATGTTTTATATTAGGTAAATTTAACATTCTCTCACACTATGACCTATCGATAATAATGTTTACTTTCTTATATAATGAAACTCAAGGGCAGAATTAGGATGGCTCCAATCCACATTTATTTCATTCATAAGTTCATTCAATTTTTATTTTCTTTTATACGTTGCATATGTTTTTTAATTGGTCTTACTACCTGCTATTTTCTTGCCCCTACTCATAATTATGCCTTGTGTATTTGAGAAGGCCAACTCTGCCCACAGGACAGGTCAAAGATTCACCAAAAGCAAAGATCCTATAATCATGACTCATCCTTCGAAAAGGAGGAATATAAAAGTAAAGAAAAGGAAGATGGATAAACAATATTTTCACATTCTTCATATTAGGAAAAGTACTCACTGTCATTGCATTTCCAAGAGTGTATTCTTTTGATATAACTAGAGTAGATCCATACCAGAAGGCCAGTGCATATGATCCATATATTAACAGGAAGGCAATGCCCATGGACATGTTTGCTGAAATCGCTTTTTTAATTCCAATCTTTTTGGCGTTTTCTAGGTGTTTCTGATACCTACCAGAAAATGAGGGGGAAATGTTACAATAAGAAATCAATCCACAACTTGAGCCATGTTCACCTCCTGTATAGTTGGAGGTTTAAGGAACAAAGCCATCACAGTAAGAAACCCCTAGGGAGACCCAGCTTTCTGGGAACTGAACCATCTGGGATCAGCCAGGACTAGAACCAATCTGAGCCTTCTTTTTACTGGCCTGGGCCCATCTCTCTTGGTCCTCACCAATACAACCAAATTTCCTGTAGCTGTTCCAGAACTGAACTCTCACCCCTGGGATATGAAAGAGCTTCATCATCACCTTCATAGCCAGCATCACAACTCAAGGTCAAGGTTGAAGGAGTGAAACCAAGCCAATCAAGAATGGCACCAAAGTGTCAATACTATTCAGGACTCTCAAAATAGTTAGATTTTTCACACAGCTCAATTTCTCTTCTCTAAGAGAAAAGAAAATCCTTCCACTATTGCTCCATTGGGCGAGGGACAGGAATTTTACATGTTCTTGTACTTAAACTTGGGCCTTTGTTTTTTTTGTTTTTGTTTTTGTTTTGCTTTGTTTTGTTTTAGTTTTTTGGATCAGGTTGACCTTCAACTGTCAAGCCAGGATACAAGATTATAAGGCGGTCACTTCTTGTGGGATATGGGTTCTTGTTCAATTTGTCTAGATTTTAGTTTCATCTTCTGTAAAATGAAGGTAATGCCTACCCTGCAAGATAATTGTGAGGCTGACAGACACTTACAGAAAGCAGTTAGTACAGTGCTGGCCCACAGTTGGCAAAACCTAATAATTCCTATTACTATTATTATTGCTATCATTGTTTTAGAATTCAATCTCTTTCTGAATATTGCTCATTCTACTATCATATTTTTGAATAGTAATTAAAATTCATATTACTGGCTTCCAGGGTTTGATACAAAGGTACAAATGTCTACAAAGGTTCTGTTAAATTACCATGTTTTTTACATCAGTTTAAATTAAATCTACCTTTCCACACTAGACACAGAGATTGTGTAAAATTTAATTAGGCTTCCAAAATTCAGAAAAAAATCCAATGGATACACAATGAGACTTTGAGAAAAGTACCATATAAAATAGGGTATTTCTGTTTCTAACAAAAAACAAACACCATCTTATTTTTTTTTAATTTAACCAAATGAGATATTGAGAACTGATCAGTTTGTAAAGAAGGTATGCTGCCACCAAAAAGCTTGGCTTTTTAATTACTTGAAGCACTCACTCTTCAGTGGACTTTCCTCATAGTTGGGCACTGCACTCGCTTAGCAGAGCTGCGTCTCTGGGGGAGACAAACAGCATGCCCGGCGGAGCATTAGGTAGGGTTAGTCCCGGGCTGGGCCTCAAGGCGTTTGCAGGGAGATTTACATTGGCCCCAATGTGACGCAAGGCTCCGGTGCCAGTGGTGGACATGCTGTAATTACCTTCACTTAGGCGGCTTGCTTACTGCAGCTAATGGAGCGGCACTGATTACACTCACATCCTGAGGTCCAACTGAGAGTTAGTGTGGTCTGTGTGGGCTATTGTGTACAGGAAGCAGCAGTAAGAGAGAAAAAGGGAGAAGTTAGAGAACCAGGCACATGGTGGTTTTGAAGAGGGCTTCAGGAAGAGAAAAATAGAAAATGAAATGGAGGAAATTAGGAAAACTGTGGTTTTAATGCAGGAGAATTTCCAAGAATTTCTATTTCAAGGAGTTGTCAGGATCCAGAGTTCCAGAGAATGGTAAAAGAAAATACTTTACACAGAACTATACTTTAACTATATTAGGGGATGTTATTTTTAAATAAACTGGTTGGGGATGTTTACGTAACGTGAAAGGAGTAGCCTTTACCAGTGGGCTTTGTTGGGCATTTAGATTTTCACGTATCAAGTTTCTTTAGAACAGGCATTCTCAACCTGGGATCCAAGTTCAAGGAACTTGAATGGGGGAGAAATTACATACTTATTTTCACTAACCTCTGATTGAAATTTAGCATTTCCTTTCATTATCAAGGCAGGCAACAAACCTCTGTAGCATTCGCAGTAACTGTGACTTTGTTGCCATTAGAAATCTCAGATCATTTTCATATCATGCTACAACTGATGCAAATATCTTGAAATATCGTTTACCCACATCCCTACTTTGTAATTACAGTAGATGTAAGACCCATAATTAGCTCTTATTATTTAATACCTTAACGTAAGAGACACATATTTACTGTATCACAATTTAAAAATATTTTGATAACTTCAATATTATTGGTTTCCTTGGTAATCCTATGTATTCTGTTTTATGCATTTGAAATCATTATTCTAAGAAAGAAGTCCATAGGCCTTGTCAGACTACCAAAGGAGTCCACAGAACATAAAGGGTAAGAGCCCGGTTTTAGAGTCTGACATTGAACCCTAGCCATCAGCAAAGGGTGCCTATATTTTGTAGGGGGAGGTTTTAATACTAGGAAAAGGAAAGTAGTGAACACATACCACAAAAGAATGAGCAACAAAACATGAAAGTGGGTTCTTTGAACCAGTGGACAAAGAACCTTCCTGACCTTTCCAGCTCTTTGTCCTGGCCCCCGAAAGCTATGACGGTCCGGATGGCCCCCAGAGCCTCTTCTGCCACAGCGCCTGCTTTCGCATATGCAGCTAGTTCTTTGTCACTAAATGCCGAGAGTATCTGGACAGAAGAGAAATATTCATGACTTTTGTATGGGGAGAAAAGTTATAAGACAGTCTAGTCAACTCTTACAGTTAGGCTTTCTTCCCAAACTCTGTCCTTTACCAAACATTGAAATCATGATGCACACAACCCTCACTGTAGCAGATCCAATGGCTCCTTCTACCCCTACACAGGCTAGAGCTCATCTACCCTCAAGATATGCCCGCCCCCCAAGAGTAGTCAGGAAAAGGAAATCTACACATAACTCTCTAAACAGCGTTTTTGGGAACAGCTTGAGTTCCACATCGACTATGTTTTTTTTCTCTGCTAATTGCAAAATAAACTAAAATGAAACCATATGGCTTTGAAAGGATTCCCCATCCTTTCTTTCATTGTGTTACGATTTTTAATTCCTATGAAAATAATAGAACTTCCAGATCTACTCTTGGGCATTCTACTGAATAATAAGATGGTTAAATAAGATATTGCAGGAGAAAGGTGGAAGGGTCAAAACAAAAGAGATACATGTAGTTTATTCAGTAAATCATCAACCCCAGAAAGAGCAAAAATTGCCAGTAAAATTTCTCAACTCTGCAGTGTTGGCTGAAGTAGAACAGGTTATGTGTATTTTGTTGTAAGGCAAAATTGGCAGAATGCCACTTAACTGTCAAGGTGACAATTAAAAATAAATAGAACAACTCCAAACTTTAATTTTTTTTTTACATTCATACAGTAGTTTGGAGGAATATTATATTTTAAAATTGTTCTTCCTTAAATAAGGACATAACTGTAGATATAATTTAAACTACTACACCAGGAGATTCACCCCAAGAAAGAATAGCAGTGTAAAAAATCTGTAACATTTTGAATCCCATTAAAAATAAACTTCCTTATTCAAGTACTATCTTAGCAACATGCTTCTAAATGTGGCTTCAACTGAATTTTAACACAGATCTGCACCACTACAAGTACCCAAGTCTTGCATATTAAACATAACTTTGGATGTGTAGGTTAACACACATGAAAATGCCCAAGTGTCACACACCTTTGCCCAAACAGCTGCAGAGAGTCCCAGGATAGGGCTGATGGCCATTATCACAAGGGTGAGCTTCCATCCTCTGATGAACCCCACTATGAATCCTGCAAAAAACGTGGCGACTGCTTGAAAGAACATTCCAACCTTGTCACCAATTCCTTCACTGATTTTGGAGATGTCACTAAAAAAGATCACACCTAATTGGTTACAGGCCGGAGGTCTTCGGTTAGAAAGGTGAAGCAGACATCTAACAAACACATTGACAGGTAAAACTTATTCATACTACTGCAAGCCTCTTTCAGAGTCTTAGCTTCTTGACTGATATTTTCCCCCACCTAAATAACTGTACAAAGGAAGAAATTTGGGATTAGTTCATGCTTCTAATAAGTTAATATCATTGAAGTTGATACTATTAAATTCATTAATCCCAGTAGAGAAGCATTAACATTTTGAACATGAGTAAATTTGTTTCAAAGCAGAAGTGAGGAAGGGCATTACAATGGTAACAGGGAAGAGTTCTTTGCTTTTGCTTGCCCTATTCTCAAGCCACCGTGTTCCCAATCCAGTAGCCCATGTGATCATTTGAAACTGAAAATCCAACTAGGTTACTCTTCATACAAAAGCATGCAATGGCTGCCCATTTCGCTAAGAGTGAATGCTGCAGTCCTAATGAGGCCAACCAGGTCCTGAATGCCTTGATCTTTCCTTTTTTTCACCTCATTTGCTCACTACACTCTTACCAGGACCTTTAGTAAGAAAAAGCTTGTCATCTATCTCCCCCTGCTGGAAGGTCAGCAATTAGAGGACAGAAGATCTTAGTCTTGGTCACTGGTGTATCACAAACATCTAGACTAGTGCTTGGCACATAGTAGGACCTCAAATATTTGTTGAATAAGTGAAGCCAACAGTTACTAAGACAAGTCTCTTTGTAAATTCATTCATTTATTCATTCATTCAACCACCTTAATTGAGTATATAACATCTATCAGGCCCTGTGATAAGCTCCATGAGAGATAAACAAGATATAAGATGTGAGCTCAGTCCTCAAATAAACCTACAACATAATTGAAGAGAAAAACTAACAGTAAAATACACTATGGCATAGGTTGTAAGTGCTAGAAATGGCTGTCAGATCATCTATTTCCAATACATATAATCTTAGTCTAGTAACTTTTTTTCATTTAAAATCTTCCCATGACAATTTTCACATAGTCAGTGGTTAATTTCTTCTTTATGAAAGTATGACATTAACAATACTTACTCTGTTAGCCGTGTATTGAGTTCAGTAGTGTCGTTGATGTCAAACCAGCCTAGTTCTTGTCGTAGAATAGCATGAAAAAACTCTTTCCTAATTTTCCTAATCTGTCGGCCGGCTGCCAAAGTCCAAAATGAAACCTGTATATAGGCAGCAACGAGAACTCCAGCACCTAATCCTGAGTAATAATATGCATATCTGGAAAATAGTTAGAAAGTTGCTTTTAAATAATGTCCTTTATTCCTCTCTTTAAGGAGTAATTTTCAGAATTGGCAATTAATAAACTTACTGAACTGATCACAAAGATTGTAGGACATTATAAGAAATACACGTTAAATTTTTTTCTCTTAAATTACAAGAGGACAATAGCAAATCTATTTACTTGATTATCAGCCAAAGAAAACAGATACATTTTTGTGGTTAACTGCAAAAAAAAAATAGTGGTGTTAATGAATCATCTTAAAACTGACCTTGACGATTTGTAGATACAATTTTACTCTTCTTTCATAATTAATATTCTAGAACTGCATAACTTTTACTGAAAATTTTTACTACCATTCACATATTGCAAATATAGGAATACACAGATTGAGCATGTGAAATGGTTCTTAGTGTAAGTTTTCTCATATTGTTTACACATAGAACCAAAAAATACCTCTTTCTATTTGGCAGAATTTGAAAATCGTTTTAAATAGTATGTTAAAATATCATGAATTCAAGCTAATTTGGAATAAAGGCTTAAGTGTATTAGAGAAAAGTTAGTATCTTTAAAAATAATAAATCCCTTTTTAAAGCTTTCAAATAAATTTTTCATATGATTTTACAAACTTTTTCCAGCTAGAAGCCTTTTAGGCTTGCTACAGCATATAGATAGTTACTCATTTATATCAGCAACATTAATTGATATATAAACATACAAACATTATGTTATAGGCTTTTGAGATTTCCATTAAGAAGGCTAACAGAGGAAGGGGAATGCCATAAATGACATTATTGGACCAGCAGGCAAAATTGGAATACAGAGAGCATTGTATCAATTTTAAATTTACTGAAGTTGATAACTATACTGTGGTTAGAAGAGAATATCCTATTCTTAGGAACCACACTGAAACATTTGTGAGTAAAGGGCTATGTGTATGCGACTTACATTAAATGGCAGGGTAGGGGGTGGTATAAATCATAACAATGGGCTAAAGAGCAAAACAAAAGGTAAAGAGTATATATATTAGCCAATTACCTAGTCATTTCTTCTTCCAGAATTCTGCCTGGGTTTAACATTGACAATGTAAAATTCACTAAATAAAAACAAAACAAAACAAAAATAAGACATTTTTGAAAGGTTGAACTACTAACAGATATTGCCAGGTTTTAAAAATCTTTTCTGTTTTCTCTTGTCTTTTCACTTTCAAGTGCACTCTTGTCACTTTATCCCAGTAAAGAGCCCAAGGGTTTAGCTGCAGGATATCCAGAGTCCAGATAGAGGAATAAGACCTCCCAGGTCCCTCCCCCATCCTAGTGGTGTGGGGTCTTCAGCAAAGCATCTTCCTAAGGCAGCAGAGAGGAGCTACAGAAGGCAGAGGAAGAAAAAATAAATGGCCCAAATAGAAAATACAGGATTTAAGGAGCACTTTTTTTCTTAGTGGCTCAAAGCACTTTAATATATGTGTGTCTTCCCTTACATACTTACATACAACCTAAGTAATAGAAAGGCTGCAATACATCCACTGTCAAGGAAGAAAAATTAAAGACAAGGAAGATAACTGAGTTGCTCAAAGACAAGTCAGTGGATTTTCCTGCATTCCATGTCTTGTTTACTAGAAAAACTGTATTCTGGTATTTTTAAAGCAGTATTAATTAGAAGGAAATATATTGTCCATTAATTTGAGATAATTTGATAAAAATGTCAGTGTGTCTCTCCTGGTTTTCATAATAGCTAGCATTTATTTACTAAGCATTTATTTTATGCCAGGCTCTGTTCTGAACAATTTACACGGTCTGACAAGTAAGTTCACAAACTTGTTGCAACAATGTTGCTAGTTTTTTTTTTATATCAGAGGGATTATTCATTATGAATTTGTACCAAATGGACAAACAGTTAACCAAGCTTATTATTTGGAAATACTGAAAATTCAGGCTGCGTGTAAGTTAGATGACCTGAACTTTTCACCAACAATTCATGGCTCTTGCAACACATGACACTGTCTGTGAGGGAGTCTTTAGCCAGTAAACAAATAACTGTATTGGAACACTTTCCCTATTCACCTGATCTGGCCCCCAATGACTTCTTTCTTTACCCCAAAATAAAGGAAATATTGAAAGGAAGACATTTTGGTGACATTCAGGACATCAAGGGTAAACAGAACAACAGCTCTGATAGTGATTCGAGAAAAAGAGTTCCAAAATTGCTTAGAATGGTGGACTGGCTTCGGTGCATAGCTTCCCAAAGGGAGTACTTCGAAGGTGACAGTAATGACATTCAGCAATGAGGCATGTAGCACTTTTTCTAGGATGAGTTTGCGAACTTAATTGTCAGACCTTACACATGTAGTAATTCATTTAATTTTCACAACAATCCTATGAAGTAGGACTGTTTCAGAAATCTCCATTTTACAGATGAGGAAATTGAGGCACAGAGAGATAAAGTAACTTGCCTAAAATAGGCTGAGAGTCCTGACATTATACTATACTGATTGATTCATGTGGTAATGACTTTTCATTTTTGAAAACGCAAAGCGAAAAAATAAAAAGGAAATAGTTATCTACTGCAGTCACAAAATAACAGGGTAAAATATTACCATAGCATGGTTGAGACAACATCCAGGGTAACTATTTTCCATTTACCATGTTGCTAAGTAGGAGAGATACTAATCTATCTTTGTTCCTTTATCATGTGTAAATAATCCAGAGGTCATGTTTCCTGACTGCTGTGTATCCTCCTTACTTCTTCCAAAGGGAGGTAAGGTTGAAATTTATTTAAAACTTAAAGTACTGTCAGGATCAATTATCAAGTTTAAGTTTTCCCTCAGGATTGTAACTTCTGATGTTCACAGTAAAGTGTTTCTGCTTATTCATCTAGCTTTTTGGGCTCTCAGGTCCTTGAGGAATCATACCTTGTTTTATTTCTGTTCTTATCAGTTCAGCTCTGTGTGCTCATTTCCTTCCTGAGTTCTTAAATATCCACTTTTGTTTTGCCAAATTGGAACTGTGTTGCAATTAGAGGCACACAAGCTATCCTAAAGCTGTGGTACTTGTAGGAATCATTGTTCAAAACCTTGGGAAACCTCCGGTTATATGTGTACAGGACTAGCTTTTTCCTTAAACTTGAACTATGATCCATTAGAAATCAGGTGAAATCTTAAATGAGCTTTACTCTCCTGAAACACCTACCTCAAACTTTCAGATTCTCTCAGTAAGAATATTTTAATTCAGGTTGATACTCCCTCCTAGGAAACAAGAATTTATGGGCATTCCAAATTTGACCTCCTTTCTCAGTCCCTGGCCAAGAATGGCAGTCTACTTCTTGGTCAGTAACACTAGGAGCCTCAGAACCCCCAAGAAACCAAGAGTTTCTGCTGCCTGGGGCAAAGGTGAGTCAAGTGCTTGTTGATGTGTTCCCAGAAGAGTTATGGGATTCTACATCTGGAATTCTAGATTTCAAAATCTCGTGGGAGTCTAGATCTGGAAAGGGCGTAGCCCTGGTCTTCTCAGATGCTACATATTATGCGTCAGTCAGTCTCACAAACAATCAGTCTCACAAGCAATCTCCAAATCGTTGTCTGGTTTGGGGGCTCTCAATGCTATTTGCCTGTGAGAATCACATGGGGAGCTTGAAAAACTTACAGATGCCCATACTGATGCCCAGGCTTCACCCAAGACCATAAATCAGAACCTCTGACTGAGTCTAGAGATCATATTTTTAAAATACCGCCACATGATTCTAATGTGTCAAGATGGAAAACCCCCACTCCGTCTACCTGAATGCCTCCCCTAACAAGGAAATGGGGGAATCTTGAACCTTCCTGTTCACATTAGAGCGCTCTCATAGAATTCATCCATTTTACAGATAAAGAAATAGAATTTTAGAGTGGTTGTTTCATTTCCAAGTTCTCACAGCTACTTTCCCCCAACATGTATTGATAATTTACTATGATCCATACACTTTACATAAATCATTTCATTTGATTCTATCAGTAAGTCTATGATTACCTTTCAAAGATCAGAACAGTAAGAAGGATAGAGGTTAAATAGCTTTCCCAAGGTCATATAGCTGGTGAGTGAAGAGCCTAAATGATAACTGTATACCTTATTAGAGAGACAACATAGGGTGTCCTGGCTGTCACTTTTGACTCTCAAAGTAAATCAATGTCTGCCTTCCTCAATTCTGCCTAAGATGCCTGTTGTCATATAGAAACAAAGAGCTGGTATTTGTGCAGGCAGGTTAGGCAGTATGGACAGTTAATTAAGGTAACAAGAGGTTCAAGGAAAATGCCTTTTCCTCTCAACCTCAAGGCAATGCAAGGACAAGCAAGGTATATCAAGATCCCCATAGAATATCCTAGATTATTACAGTCACATAGACTTGGCATCAAATATGTCAAGTTCATGATACTCTGCAGAAAAACTGTTTCCTCTGACTCCATCCTTAAGGTTTTGGATGCAGAATGTTTTATGCATAGTTTCTGCACAACTGAGTCATTGTGAGCGAATGACCTTGTCACGGAGTGGCTTTATTCTGTTGACAAGGACGGGCTCTGTTCATAATGAATCATTGTCAGACCCTCTTGTAATTTAAACCATTTTTTCTTCTAACATTCCCTTCTCATTTGGCTCCTGTTAAGTCTAGCTGTCCAAGAATCCAACAATTCTAAAGAATAGACTCTAAATAAACATCATCTCTATGAGATGAGCCTTCCAGCTCAGCCAAGGACAGCTAAGTACTACTCTGTCTTTTCTCAACCTCCATGATTGTTGCTAAATTCTATAACTCTCAACATATCAATGAGCTCTCTGGATGCAAAGTGGGTATGTAATTTACAGATTTCATTTCCTCCAAAGGGGTATGAGGTTATTACTTTTACAAACTAACAAAGAGTGGACATTGGAAATTAATAACACAAGAAGGACTTCCCATTCCAAATCCCCCAGGATAGCCAATAGGCCTAATGGCAAACGTAGCTATAGAAAACCAAAGGTCATATAATTTGGAGGCTACTGAAACCAAGTCAGCAACTCTGGTGACTTTAGCACTACAGCAAACACAGGTCTGTAAGTGACTTGCTCAGTGCCATTTCCCAGAGAGACCTTGAATGTGGCCCAGGGCACAGCACACGGCACCTGTCTGCCATGTCCAGCTTCAAAGCCATTCAGTTGCATAATTAGAAACAAGTAAAAAAGAAGCTGGTATTCTAAAAACAAGACATAAAAAGGATACAAGTGCTAACTTATCTATGATTAGTATGTTGCATTGTTTTAATCTGATTTTTTTAAAGTTTAATGGTGATAACATACACACAAACATAAAATTTACCATCTTAACCATTTTTAAGTGTACAGTTCACTAGTGTTAAGTATATTCATAGTGTTGTACAACCAATCCCCAAAACTTTTTCATGTTCCAAAACTGAAACTCTATGCATTAGCAACTATCCATTTCCTCTTCCCCACAGTTCCTGGTAACCACTATTCTATTTTCTGTTTCTATGAATTTGACTACTCTTGATAACTCATATAAGTGGAATCATGCAGTCTTTGTCTTTTTGTGACTGGCTTTTTTCATTTAGCATAATGTCCTCAAGGTTCACCCATGCTGTGGCATGTGTCAGGATTTCCTTCCTTTTTAAGACTGAATATTATTCCATTGTATAATATACCACTTTTTGTTTATTCATTTACCTGTTAATCTGATTTTTTAAACACTTAATAGAAACCAATTTTTTATTAATGTGTCTAAATATGGGCATCATCCTACTTTATGTGTATAAAAAATTAACGCATAATAGATCTATAGATTTTCTAAAAAAGAAAAAGAAAAGAAATGGAAAATTCTTACCTCTCATTTACTTAAAGACTTTTAAAACTATCCTATATTACTCCAATTTTACCTTTATGGTATTTATGTTAAAGTTTTGGTTGCTGGTTAAACACAGTAATCCATTTAAAACTCTCCCAAACACATTCTTTTAAAAGAGAAAGCTCAATTATTTACATTAGCAGTGTAATGTATTTATATGGTCACGAGCATTGTTTGGATAGCAGAAAGACCTGGATTTGAGTTTTGCCCTGACACTCACCGGCTATGTAACTTTGGACAAGTTATTTATCCTCTCCAAGCCTCAGTTTCCTTATATGTCAGAGGATAACATTGCCTACTGTGTAGGATTGTTCTTCTGAAGATTAAGTGAGAGAGGATCCAGTAGATAAGAAATACAATGAAAGATTACTATTATTGGAATTATTTTTATTAGAAAGAGGTTGTCCATAGTACTTGAGAATAAATAAACTTTTTGTAGGAGCTTTTATTTTCTACTCAAAGGACGCTTTTGATTTCTAAAAGGCATTCATGTTTATCAATTTTCATGTAAACAGATCCTATTATATAAATCAAGAAATCCTATTCTCTGAGGTAATTACACTTAAGTACTACAATGCTAACCAAATATGTACTTCTCAATCAGCGAACACTATTACTATTACTATTATCTTACTATTACTATTATCTAAATGATAGGGTCCACTTTTTCTTAAGTGTCTGTTATGAAAGCTGCCTTTCCTTTATTGGTATTTTTTCCTTATATTCCACCATTTGTGTACCAGTAAAGCTCCACTCAATCTTCTCCGGTCTGGTGTTCGCGGAGTGTCTGGGGAGGAAGTAAGCCTCAGGCTCGGTAGGATGCATGGGACTCCTCCTTTCTATGTGGAACTTGGCCACAGCTCCCCTTTAGATGGCATTAGCTTACAGGACGCCTCTGGCCCTTCACTAACTACAGTCCTTTGGGTGCATTTCAAAGCGCATCATTCTCATATTGAATCCATTCACTCTTTAGTAAAGTGTTATATCAAGTTCCAGCCAACCCGGTTGATCCAAAAATTAGAGACATGAAATGGCGATGATTTAAACAAAAAGGGTGGGGGAGAGAAAAAAAGAAAGCCAGAAACAGATCCACAAACTGAACACAGCTAAGTAGTACTAGCATGCTAGCTGGAGTATTCTGAAATTCACCAGTGATCACTGCATAGATACACTGTTACAGATGCACTGTCCTCAAATACAGACTTCCTACTTTATTTAGAGGCAAAGCATTCTGTATATTTCTACCCTGTCAAACAGCATACACCTATTTCTTAAAATTTAAATGAGTATTTGAGGAATTTTCTGAGAATTTTACTTCTTTTGTGATATCCGGAGTCACCCAGATGTCTCCATCATTAAACAAGTACATGATAAACAGCAAAATCAACTTCTAATCTTTCACCTGGTGCATTAACAAAAAGTAGAGAAATGCTTACCTGGAAAAGAGAAGTTCCCTGCCGTAACAACAAATCTGTCAGTCATTTCTCCAAATACTATCATCATGAGGGGGAGACCTGATCCATGAGCTATGGCCATGATTGTGCCAAGGGACATAAATAATTTATCCTGCCAATCAGAGTATCGAAACTAAAAAAAAGGGGAAACAAAATAATACTTATATTACCTTGTGGGAAAGAACTTCTCTTTTTCACAATTGTATGTTCTTTGATTTTTATTTAAGGTCAATACATCAGTAGTAGTTGCAAATAAATGTTAAGGAAGAAAACAAATTATGATCCAAAACATTGACAGATTAATTTCATGATTCTATTTATTTTGTATTCTGTGAAGAAATCAATATGACTCTGTTTAACTAGTATCTTATTTAATCGAATGGTTGCAATATAATCAGATGGGATAAAGGTTTGGTTCTACTAGGAAATATTGTTTGAGCTTCCAGAACTCCTGAAGTAGTGAATAAAGAACGGCTAGGAATAGACATTAAGTACACACACACACACACACACCACATTACATCACAATCTTTAAAATGACATTCAGAATGTTTCAGAGGGAGAATTACAAATGGGAGAAACAGACCCTATAAGTTTTGAGGATAAGATCATCTTATGAGGTTTTAAAAGGCAGCTCAGTAGTGAAGTGCAACAAACATTATGGAGTGCCTAACTATACTTTAGGGAAGTTTTGCTCATGGAGATGATGCTTGTTGCTGGATCTTGAAGGATTGGGGGAGTTAGCTGAAGAACAACTGGGGAATGCAGAGGAAATGGGGAATGTTTAGGCTTAGAACAGCAAGGTGACTAGAAATGGCATGAAGTGCCCAGGTAACTCCACACCGTGCAAAGTGTGGGAGATGACATTAGGGAGAGGTAGAAAAGGCCTCGTGGGCCGCACCAGGGACCTTGGTCTTAACTCAGTACTATCCATGTACGATGTACTTAGTACTATCACTTAGAGGGTGGATACCAGTTGTCACAGCTACGTGCACAACACCCAAGAACTAAGTAGCAGACCGGTGTCATCATACTACAGAGACTCTTCCCTCACTGTGTTTCTAGTCCTCTCCAATTTCTCACTTTTTCTCCCCATTTTGATTGTTCAATGGCTCTCTCTTTGTTCTTCTTTCCTCTTCTTCCAGAATACATTTTAGTTACCTTATTTTTCCATGTCTATACCTTCCCCTCTGTTCCTTGCATTTCACCCCTCTTTTTAACCTCTCCCCTCTACCCGTTTCCTTCACCCCACCCCAAGCCCCTTTTGGGGACAAGGAACAGTCATCAGGACAATGGGTGATGAGTCAGACTTGACAGAGTGGGGTTCCTGAGAGCTGAAGCTGAGTCAGACATGATCAATACATGCCAGGTCAGGCTGAGGTCAGACACACATGGTGGGGAGGGGGGATGTGTGCAAACTGTTCTCAGAGAGTTCCAGAAGCTCAGTATGAGAAGGCCAAATTCCACCATCAAACACGCAGGGCAAGCACAAGTGCCAGAAGAGACAAAGGGTCAGAAGCCAGGTGGAGCTTGGAACGAAACAAGAACACATGGTGAAGCCTCCTTAAAATTGCTATAAAAGGGACCAGTGTCCCCAAGGTTCAATTTAGTGGCTCCTGGGGAAGGGAGACAGAGCACTTGGGTCTATCAGCTACAGTTACAAGTTCAAGGCCAGGTCATCATGTAATGTTCTCTTTACTGAACATTTACATGAAATTGAGGAACATTTTAAATGCTTCCCAAACTACTTAAATAAAATTTTATTGTCTCTAAGCGTAAATTTAAAATTACATGAATTTCACAGCAACATCCTAAGTAAACCTAAATTTGTTTTCAGTGATTTTTCAAAAAAACAAAGCATTTCTAACTTTCGTTAGAGTACAGTTTTGTAAATGTCTAATCACAATGGTGTACATCTGAAACTAATATTGTATGTCAGCTGTAATTGAAAAATAAAAAAAGAGGAAAATAGGAGAAAAAGAGAGTACACGTTTGTCCTGAACCTCTTTTAGGACAAAAAAAAAAAGTATTTTTAGAGTCTGAAAAAGATTACATTTAAATTTAATTAAATTTTAACTTTTACATTCAAATGAAATTTTCCATGTTTCTACTTTAAGGTTTGTGGTATTTTATTTTCTGTGGGAGGCTATTTAAAAATCTGTACATTAAAACCATATTTAGTTTTACAATATTCTCTAAAGCACTAAATTAAAGAAAACAAACTCTTTCTGAGACTTTTAAACAAAAACATAACAAGAATAAGAGAGAAGGGAATGAATAGGGGCTTTGTGGTGATATGAGAAATCTGCAGCGATATCCGAGACCTAGGCTGTTTTGGTGTCTTTTTGCCCATTTACTTAAGTTGGAGATTTCAGCTGATGAGCCACTTAATACCACCTCCTTTGCTATTGGATAATGGCTATCACAGTTTGAAACACATCATATTTACCAAAAGTAGGCAAGCACTTTCTTGGGCCCCCTCTCTGAGACATATTACAAATGAAAAACAGATTAGACTTCTTCCAAAAATACGTTGATTTGGCTTGTGCATGGAGAAAGCCCCTGAGACATTTGTTGAACGCATAATAAGTCCCTAATCGTTACTCTATATTTAGTCAATTCTCTTGGAAGCCAAATGTGAACACAGATTTCTTAACTGTGTTAAGATTTCTATAGTTAACAATCACTGTCTTTATATGCAAGCTTATTTTAAGCTAAATATGTGGGGGTTTTGTGAAACAAATGCAGAGATGCATTTTTCTGAAATTGATTATTTGTCTGGTGCTCCAAATATAAGTTCTATTTTCAATTTCCCTGTACACCAGTTAGCTCTGCTCTGTTTCATAGCCAGCCTATCCCGTCCTCTTTTATCATCCATCTTGAGAATGTGGGCCATGGCTACAGTGAACCAGCCTAAGACAGCACAGGTGTAGCAGGGAAAATCTATCACTGCGTGTAGACAATCTTAAAGTACTGGCTGTATAACTACTGATCCAAGACACCAAATTTGAATGAAGGAAAGAATTATTCACATTTATTATTTCACAGCTTACCAACGTTAATGGTCCAATCAAATTCACTTTCTTCATCTTTTTCCTGTCTTGGTTGCTGTGAAAAAATATAATCATTTGAATTTGAAACTATTACAAAATGCTTCCCAGTCAATTGAATATTAATTTAAGTAGTTATCATATTCAACTATTATAATATTTTCATACCAGGTCGGACAATTAAGTTCATGAACTCATCCTAGAAAAAGTGCTACATACCTCATTGCTGAATATCACTATGGTCACCTTCGAAGTACTCCCCTTGGGAATCTATGCACCGATGTCAGTGCCTAGTCCACCCTTCAAAGCAATTTTGGAACTCTTTTTCTGGAATGGCCATCAGAGCTGTCATTGTATTACCCTTGATGTCCATCAAAATGTCTTCCTTTCAATATTTCCTTCATCTTCGGGTAAAGAAAAGTCATTGGGGGCCAGATCAGGTGAGTAGGGAGGGTGTTCCAATACAGTTATTTGTTTACTGGCTAAAAACTTTCACAGACAGTGCCGTGTGAGCTGGTGCATTGTCGTGATGCAAGAACCATGAATTGTTGGCAAAAAGTTCAGGTCGTCTAACTTTCACACAGCCTTTTCAGCACTTCCAAATAGCAAACTTGGTTAACTGTCCAGTTAGTACAAGTTCATAATGAATAATCCCTCTGATAGCAAAAAAGGTTAGCAACTTTATTGCAACAAGTTCACAAACTTAATTGTCAGACCTCGTATAAATATAAAACAGTGGTGTCCACAAACTGTCAAAATTATCCAGTTTAACTAATACTACACAGCAATCACCAAGTAACTGAGGTAACTGTCCAAGGTACTACAAGGATATCTGGATAAATGAGAAATGGTCACCTGCCTCACAGAGCTCACACAGAGTCAAGATGAATATGTTAATAATGTCTGCCAAATCAATTACAGTTCCCCCTTATCCACGGTTTCACTTTCCACTGTTTCAGTTACCCGCAGTCAACTGCAGTCTGAAAATATTAAATAGAAAATTCCGGAAAGAAGCAATTCCTAAGTTTTAAATTGCATGCTATTCTGAATATGGTGATGAAATCTCACACTGTCCCGCTGCATCCCGCTCAGGACATGCACCATCCCGTTGTCCAGCATGTCTGCACTATAGATGCTACCCACCTGGGAGTCACTTAGCTTAGTAGCTGTCTCAGTTATCAGATCGACAGTCATAGCATCACACTGCTTGTCTTCAAATAACCTTTAATTTACTTACAATGGCCCCAAAACACAAGAGCAGCGATGCTGACAATTTTTACATGCCAAAGAGAAGCCATAAAGTGCTTTCTTTAAGTGAAAAGGTAAAAGGACTCGACTTAATAAGGCATTTTATCATCTCACCTCACCACAAGAAGAGGAGAGTACTGTACAATAAGATATTTTGACAGAGAAAGAAAAAAAGAGAGAACATTCACATAACTTTTATTATAGTATAATTATTCTATTTTATTATTAGCTATGGTTGTTAACCTCTTACTGTGCCTATTTTATAAATTAAGTTTGATCATAGGTATATATGTACAGGAAACAACCCACAGTATATGTAGGGTTCCATGGTATCTGAAGTTTCAGGCATCCAGGGGAGGGGTGGGGTGTCTTGGAACATATTCCCCATGGATAAGGGGCGGGTGGTGGGGGAAAAACCACTGTAAATTCTTCTTTTGCTAAAAAAGTTCATATTGATTTAAAAATAGTAAGGGCCCCTCTTCTGAAGGATGATGAGGAGTGGTGTCAGGAAATCCTGTTTGCTCTACATTAAAAATACACCTAGAATTCAACCACTGTTCACCACTTTTATTGCTACCCCAATAGCCCAGGAGAACCTCTGCCTAGTCTCACTACTTCCACTTATGCCCACGTTAGTCAATCCTCAACACAGCAGCCATAGTAATTCAAGTTGCAGCATGCTACTTCTCTGCTCAAAAGCCTACAATCATGCCCATTTCTCTGGGAATAAAAGCCAAAGTCCTACACTGGCCTCGGGGGCCCTATGTGATCTGTTTCCTTGTTGCCTCTCCAACCGCCCTTCTCAGTTCCGTGCCTGCTTGCTCTGCTCCAGCACCCTGGCCTCTCTGTTGTTTTGTGAACACACCAAACATTTTCCTATTGCAGGGTCTGCACATTTTCAGTAACCTCTGCCAGGAATGCTCTCCCCTCAGATACCCACACAGCTCGCCCTCTCACTGCGTTCATGTCTGTGCTCAAATATTGCCTTCTCAGTAAGACCTACCTTAACCATCCTATTTACAATCGCAAACTACTTACTCCTTGCACTCCTCATTTCCTTTGCCTTGATTAATGTTTTTCCATAGCACACACTACCTTCTAATATTTGCAGTTTACTTTTTTAGCACGTGTATTATTTATGTCTGTTTGCCATACAACAAACTCCACGAGGGCAGAGATTTTTTTTTTAACCTAGAATGTATTTGGCTTAAATTTCCAGGTAAGTGATAAAGTTTTACTCATAAAACTTGATTTTAAATTATTTAGAACATTTGCTAAAATCAAACGACAGACATCTATCTGTCACTAAACATGTTCAAAAGAATGTGCCCCTGGCAATAGCAGCATGATTGGAGTAAGCATGTAACTAACTTCCACTTGGTCCCAGGTAACTGAAGTGAGCTTAACTTCCCTTGAATGTATAAGCTTTGGTCTGCTTTTTTAAAAAATTAGTCTCATGACATTTAATTTCATAATCTTACAGTCTTAGCGTATTCTTAACATTCTGTATTTCTCTTTTGAACTTCTGCTTTCCAACATCAGGCTGTGAGCGCCACTTCTGAGAATTTCCTTAGGTTCTGGAGTGTTACTGCATTTTTTTTTTTTTGCAGGGATAGCTCCTTTGTACACTCATCAAATGTTCAGCCAGGGCAATAAATAGCCTTCCTCCTGAAAATGCCATCTATTTATAGCTTCATAGTCAATCCCAGCTGATGAATACCACATCTTCCTGGTACAAATGCTACCATCCATCAGTTTTCCAATTCTATATGGCAAACGAAATTTTCTATGAATGGGAGCCATAGTACTGGGAAGGAACAGAGCAATGTCACTGTATGAGTAAGTTAACGGACTAAAATAATGCTTCGGTTTAATCATCAGATAGGCATATTTCAGTTGGCTAATCAGGCCCCTTGCAGCTTGAGAGCTAGATAAATTTGTCTAACTAGAGAACTTGATAAATTTGTCCCCCTGCGTGATCACTTGATGACACAGGTCAATTAGTTCTGGATGGCCTGGTACGAACTCAGAGACCATAACAGCCTCATAAACTATATGAGGCTAAAGGCGAAAATGATTCACTTCCCACAGCGAAAGAGGAAACAAAGACCACATACCATTGACTGGTCATTTCTGTTCTTACTAAGGCCTGTGAAGTGCCTTAACAAGGCCCCCCGGGAACCAAAGAGCCAGCGCCGGGAGAAAGACGCGCACGCAAAGGAAGCGCTGATGTTTCCTTTCCCCCTTGCATTTGAATATAAACTGATTCGGGACCGCAGGATGCAGGAGAATGAGGCTGCCCTGGGGCCCCCTCCCCACCTCACCGCGGAAGGCGGAGAAATACGGCACCCGCCTGGCGCTGGGAGGAGGGGGAGGGGGAGGCAGTGAGACAAGGAGGAAGAGGAATAGGAAGGGGGAAGGAGGGAGTTTTTGCTTCACCACCCTTATTCTAAAAGCACAACCATCAGCAGATTGTCTGATGCTCTATAAGTATGAAACATCATATGATGTTTATGAAAGTTATCTGTAAAAGTTTTGAGTTATATAATGCAAGGAATGTTATACAACACAGATATTCATCGAATCCCCCTGCACAAAGGGAAGCGGGCACTTTCAAAGACAGCCTCTTGTTTCCCGAGCCTGTTGCAAAAAAGGAGCTTCAGTAACATTCCTTGAGAAAGGTCAGAACCTCAAACGAGACCCTCCAAAGCAGCTTCCAAAACAAAGGCCGAAGGCATCAAACAGAAATTCCTCAACTTCTTCCCAAGGCCCAGTTTGGCCCCGCGGATTCGCATATAACGGAAAAGAGGTGCCTGGTGATGTACCTGCTGCCGCTCAGCTCCAAATCACTTTCTGCCCTCCTGGGGCGTCGGGCTGTCCCGTTCCTTCCCGCCTCAAGATCCATCTCAGCCTAGGGAGAAACCACAGTTTCAGGTCCCAGTGCACCCGCTCCAGCCCCGGGAGGACAACCAGCCTCCTCGCAGGCCCGCCCTAGGGGGCCGAGGCGTGCGCACCGGTCGCGGGGCCCGGGGCTCCGGGTGGGGGTCCCGCTGTCCCCGCCACGCGCCCACCGTCCCGGGGTTTCCCGGCGCCCCGGGACCTCCCTCACCTCGGACCTCGGACGTCTCTGGCCGAGCGGCTGGGCGCGCGGAGCGCTGCGACCAAGGGGCCTGGACTTTGCCCGCCGCGCTCGCTCTGCGGGCCCGGCTCGGGTGAGGGGCCCGGGATGCCTGCCTCGCCGCCGGGGGCGCCCGGCGCGGCCACCGCCCACCCGGGCGAGCCGCCAGCCCCGGCCCGGCAGCGCCAGCTGCGGCTGTAAGCCCGCGATCAGCCGGGTGCCGCCGGGTGCTCGGAGAGCCTCGCCTGCGGGGCACCCGAGCCTCCAAAAGTGACTGTCACACTCCCTCAGCTCTCAGTTTTCTTTTTAAACCCATGCGGAGACCGTTTTTTGGAGGCTGGACAATCAAGACAGCACTAGACTCGCTTCCCACTTCTGCATCCCCAGGTCTGGTCCCGGTGGCACCAAACCCAGTCAGCTCCAGGGATGGCGGGGGTTAACCAGGACCCGGAATAAACACGTTATGATCCTTGGAGAAGAGGAATGCTGTCGGTGCCTTCTTAATACTTGGACGGAACTTTTGGGCTAAAGGGACTTTAGAGATCGCCTGATTCAGAACCTGCCTGTTTTACAAGATGCCCAGAGAACTTACAAATCCTGCCTCAGTCTGCATCAGCGGGACCAGGGTCCAGTCCAGTGTCCTCTCCTGGCTCCTTGCTCTGACCTTGGACCTCTCCCTATACTAAATTGTCTCTAAACCTAGCGCCCACTTAGGTCTCCTGTACAGTTTTCTTGTCCCTTCTGATTGATTTCTCTGCACGCATCGGAAAAGGAAGGGTCTAAACCCAGGAGCAATACGTTACCAAGCAGAGCATGGTATAAGAGGAGGTGTTATTGGACAGACCCTGGTATGAGTCTCACCTCTGCCATTCACTAGCTATTTGGCCTTGAGCAGGTTTATTTAATTCATGATTCAGTCTCTGAGTCCGTAAACCAGGAGTGTTATTAGGATTAAACATAATGTGGGTAAAATGCCCAGCACATAGGAGGCACACAATAAGTGAAAACTAGAATTACAGTTGAAAGATCAGAAGAGGCTGTTGAGGAAAGGCTGGAATAGGAGCCAGCAGTCCTGCCATTCTAAACGGGCCTCTTTATCTCCATCTACTCTGCCTGTTGCCTTGAGCTCGGCAGAACTTGACTTGAAGACTATATACTGAGAGTTGATTGAAACTATAGAATGTTCTGGAATTATGTGATAGAAATTAATTTACTTAAGTATTTTCCCTCAAAATGTTTTTCTCCTTATCCAGCCCTAAACCATGAGGATTCTCTTCTTGGATCAACCAGAATTCCTCCTCTTCACAAGTCTAACTGGTGGTCAGATCACTATTTTAAGATACTCTGGGACTAAATAGCAGTTGGAATTGTTTCATCTGAAAGAAGGCTTGGTGGTGACTGGAGGACATTATAAAACTCATTATCCTATGGGGAGATGACAGACAGCTTTTGCAGTTTCTATAAAGAAATCTTGAGGGAGATACTTGAGGAGGTAGGAAGCTTCTGAACTAAAAACAAAAACAAACTAAAAGCACCCAGGAATAAGACATGTTTGCCTGTCTGAGCCAGTTCACAAAGCTGTCCCTGTAAGAAGTGCTCAGAAGACACAAGTGAGAATATCGCACAAGAAGATGTTTGTGGAGAGACGAGTCATGCCTACATGACTGTGTGTATTTCCCAGCGTCAGAGCCAATTCCAAGGGCTCCTTTTATATCTGCTTGATGACAGTGAAACAGCCCTATGTGGTGCATCCATGTGGCTATTTGTTCATTCAAAAACGAATATTTAAGCCACTATGACAAACTAGATTTCTCAATGACACTCATGTTGTAAGAAACCTTGACTTTCTCTTTGTGGCAGGATATTCAGATACTTCTGCATTGTTCTCATTGATGTGGAGCTAATGCCCTTCCACCACTCTGTTACCTTACTTTTCCTATTTGTTCCACTAGTTCTATCTGTTTAAATCTTAACTTTTGCCTTTTTTGGGATTAATCGAATATTTTTATTATTTAGGTTTCCTTTCTCTTAACTTATTAAGTATACATTTGTTTTTTATCTATTTGATAGTTAACTCCTTCCTAGAGATTATGACATAAATCTCTCACTAATCATTGGTATTTTTTTCCTCTTCCAAGACAATGTAAGGATTTTAGAACTCTCAGGCCTCATTTATCCACCTCTGACTTATAGACTATTGTTGTCATGGACAGTACTTTCATTTTCTCTGTTTATGATCCTTATGATAATATTATTATAGAGTCAATATTCATTTAGATTTATCTATACATTTATCATTTTCTTGCTCTTTATTTCTCTCCACGTCTCAGAGCCACTATCTTGGGTCATTTTCCTTTTACATGAAGAATATTCTCGTGTTTCCTTTAGTTGATGATGAATTTTCTCAGCTTTTTTTTTCCCTGAAAATTTATTTCACCTTTATTTTGAAAAATTATTTGGGGATTTGGCTGTACTAGGTATCAAGACTTTTATTATGAAGTTGTAGTAATTAAGGCCATGTGTTTTGGACAGGGATAAACAAAATTAAAGTGGAACAAAATATAGATCTTGAAATGGACAGAGCTAGAATTCTAATGCAGGCAATGTCCTTAGTGACATCTTAAGTAGGGCAGGAAATGGGGATGGAGAAGATGGGTCAAATGTCAGACGGTTAAACACGTTCACCCCCAATCCATTGATCTTACCACGTTTTAACTGTTCTTCACTTCCTTGATGTGCTCTCTTCCTTCATAACCCATCTTGGAAACAACTGCAGCCCCCTTGCCCTCTCTCTTATCAGGCTTGCTTGGTTAAACAACAACCATGGCTAATTTAAATTATCCAACTTATTGCAAGCCTCCACCATCTAACAGAACACGCTAAAGAAAAACAGGAAACCATCTGACTGGTCTCACCATGAAAATAAATGGCCCTTGACTACATACTTAATGTGATAAGTATGCTTATTGTCTATTGCTTACTTTGTGGGATGCAAGATTCATAAGGACAAAGAATTTTTTTCTGATGTATCCCAACACTTGCTGCCCAACAGTCATAAATATTTCCTTAAGTTTATGCATTTTTTCCACTTTCCTAGATAATGACTTCATACTTTCTCTTTCCTCAAACTTCCATCATTCTTGCCCCATCTTCTTCACATTCTGCTGAAGTATTGTGCTTTTTATTTCACTGATAAAATTGAAGTTTCCTGAAGGGACCAGCCGTAATCTCCTGCCATGACATCTGCACACTTACCAGCACCTGTGCCCAACACTGTGCCTTCCCACCCGTTTCTCTAAATGAACTGCCTATGCCCCCATTTGCAGCCAGTCCTTCTGTTTGTGCTTTTATACTATAGATTCCATCCCCTCAAGAATGACATCTTAAGGAGGCATGATACCCTCTCTCTCCTGCATCATCAACTTTTCCATCCCTGCTGGATCACTCCTGTCAGCATACATACGTTCTGTTATTTCTTCCATCTTAAAAAAAAAATCTGTCTTGATCCCACTTCTCCTGCCAACTACCATCACACTTCTCTCTCCTTCTCTTTGCAGCTAAACATCTTAAAAGAGTTATCTCTATCACTTTCTCCATTTCCTGTCCTCCTGTTCTCCCTTAAACAGTCTAATCAGGAGTTTGTTTGACCTTTTCACACCAACAAAAATGCCCTTGTAAGGGTCATTGATAACCTTTACATCACCAAATCCAAAGGTCTCTTCTTTGTCCTTATCTTATGTGACAAATTCAAGTGGTTGACAAACTTATCTTTCACTCTTCCTTAATACACTTTCCTTACTTGGATTCCAGGACACCACATATTTCTTGGATTTTCTTATGCTACTGCCAGGCAGAGACCATGCCTATCTAGTCCTCACAGCACAAGAAGGCTCATTAAATGTGTATTGAATAGATCAATATTTTTAATCTATAGTATAAAAAATTTATATTGTAAAAAAGAGTTTCCTATAAGGGTCAAAGAGGAGAACAAACACCATCTACCAAAGTACTTAAAAATACCATACACACACACACACACACACACACACACACACACATACTAAATACAGAGGGTGCCAAAAAAATGTATACACATTTTAAGAAAGGAAAAACTATTAAAATTGTAATATTCAATATATACCAATAACAAAAGATGAATACAAGTCACTTTGACTTCTGCAATTACAAGAGGTGCTCAGAGTGGTTACCATCAGCGTCCAGACACTTCTGATTTCAGCGAACTACTGCTTGAGCAACGTTGACCAAAGTGTCCACTTGTATATATTTTTGGCACCCCAGTATTTAATATAATATTACATATAATTCAATAATATTTTTATATTTAATATACTATATTTAAATATAAATTAATTCGCAACACTTTTCCCTGAAGAGATCTTAGACTTGATTCTCTCTCTAGTTGATCTTTAGCTTGATGATAATATGCCTTGTGATTTTTTCCCCACTATATTGTATTTGGAGCTAATAATTCTGATTTTTAATCTCTGAAGATAGACAGTTAGATGCTGTCTTCGACTACTGTATTTGTGTGTGGTTACACTTAACTACATTCTGTGTCCAAGTTTTCTGCTACCAATACTTTTCAACCTCTGCCTACATCTTCCATCTTCTTCTCTAGTTTATAGATCTTGATTTCTCCTGTCTTCACTTCCTTCAAACCATGTTACCTCTTAAACTTTTAAAAAATCCTTCTCACTGCTTGGAAAAAACAAAGCAAAATCCCTTTTCACTTTTGACCTCTTTTTTTCCTAAAATATAATTTCTTTGGGTCTCACTCTTTTTTTGCTCGTTATAAAATTCACCTAACTAATTTGGGCCTAGCACCTTGAAAGGCATTCATAAGATGTTGAAGATGAGGGTAGTGCTGACTCAGTACCCTCTTTTCCAGTGAGCTCTTCCTTACACCCTCTTAAACCAAGGAGGACTTAAACAAAGGTGCCATGAAAAATTTAAAGAAGCAGTTGGGAAGAATTTGCTATCAATCACAATGTCATATCGTTTCCGCCAGCAGAGTAATGACACATTAAGAGTTCCAAGGTT